TCATAATCAGTTAGACATTGTTTTCTGAAATTTTCATATACATCGGTTAATAATGATACATCGGTTTCTAAATATAAATCGTGATATTCACCAAGGCTTTTGATGTTAAAGTGCTTCCATATTAGTTTTGCTCTTTCGTAGTCAACATCGCTTATATCTTCTTCGCTTAATCTACTATAAAAATGTTTCTTTTCTGGTAGTTCAGTGTCATTAAATTTATTGAAGTCATTACAATAATCATAAGGATAAACTCCCTTTTCTGTCAGTAAAAATAAATCTTTTTCATTTTTTATGTATTTGCCTTTGACACTATATTTAAAATGTTCCTGCCAGTTGTCCCTTAATTTATTATCTTCATATTTTGTTAATTTAACAAGTTTATCTAATGATGATGACAAGAAACTGAAACTATCCTTAAATTCAAGTCTGTTTAATGAAAAGGTAATAAACTTCTCACTGTTATGTGCTATTACTGATATTTGTTCTTTCTTTGTATTTAACTTTTCAAGATTAGAAATTATTAGGTGAGCATCATAGTTTTTAAGATTGTGAAAGAATACTGGTATATGATATTTTTTAAAACAATAGTCTATATTGCATTTCATATGTGCCGCTCCTCTGTATAATCCAGTAAAGTGGCAATGGTCAGCAACTTTCTTTTTCGCTTCTACTCTGTTGTCAAAAGTGCCATTGCATAAGAAACACTTTTTAGCTTCTAAATGTTTAATTTCATCTAAATCTGACATAATCATATCTTTTGGATTTTTCATTTGTTTCATTACATCGTCTCTAATATTGTTTAATGTATCACAAAATTTATCCATACAATCTTGGCCTCTATATAAAAATGGTTTCATTTCTCCACTATAAGCATTAACAAGGTTAAGCATATAACCGCTGGGTTTATGGTTCTGATAAGTCCCTTTGATGCCTTCTGATGTTTCTGTTGTTAAACATTCAAAATCACCGTAAATAACAAATGGGCGCTTTCAGTTTCTTAAAATGCTTTTCAAACTTCATTGTTGTTCCTTCTTCTGGCATTTTTGTTTGTTGAATGTCATTTGCCATACAACCTTTTATTAAGTGAGAATTTAAAAGTTTTTCTGACTTGAAACCGTGCTGACAAAAACTACAAAAAACATTTTATTAGTTGTTCTGTTTGTTTGTCTTCCTGCTAATCTACTAAAATCTTTTATTAAAACATAGTGTTCGTTGTTGTTTTGTTCAATTCGTAACAAATTAATATGACAAGATGGTCTTTCAATTTTTGTTATTCTGTCTGCTCTGATGGTTTGGTTCACATCTTCAACATAAACATTAACTGATATAGATTTGTTATTGATTTCTTCAAAATGGTCTATGTCATCGTTGGATGCTGGAAAATTTACACCATCCCATTGAATTAGACTTTCAGTAGTTATTAATTTCTTGTAGTGTCTCATATGTTGTGGATGGTCTTTCTTGAAGACTTCATAAAATTTACATAAAACACAATATTTAAAACATAATTCATCATCATTTTGAATGTTGATACATGCTTTTTTCTTTGAAATCCATTCTGGTAGTTCCATATATCTTCCTGCTCTGTTCGGATTGTATTTGTCGTAGTGGATGGTGATTTTGTTAATCTTATTAATCTTCAATCCTGAATGTTTCAAAGGTGAGTTTTCAATTTGTAGTTCAATATCTCTAGGTATATTTTCCAATGCTTTTTTCAAGTCTCCTACATTTAGAATGTTATATCTCCTGCTTCTCATATTGTGTTTTATTTGTATATTTTCCTCAGTTGGTTCATCTTCTCCATCATCCTCTTCTTGCTGTCTAAGTTTATCAAAAATAACCTCAACATCAATCAGTAGTTTCATTGACTTTGCTTGATGTAAAAACTCTGTTAGTTTCTTTTCTTGCCATAAAAGATATGTTAATCCTTTGTATCCCTTGAATGGTATGTTGGATATTGCATATGTGTTGGCATATCCTTTCAATGCCGAAAATGTCTCTGTTGTTTTTGCTCCTATTTTTAATCTGTATTTCTGGATTGTGTTAATGCCTCTCATTGTGTTTGATGCTTTTTTTAGAAGATGAAATCGTTTGAAACCTTGTGTGTTGCTGACTTGATTGAGTTTGTTTTGAAGTGATGTGGATAATGGTTTGTCTTTGTTGTAATAGTATTCTTTGTTGTTGATGATTAGTTTTTTCAATGGTTTGTTATTCTTCCCTGTTTTTATTTGACCTTCATTATTGGATAACAAATATTCAATTACTGAACCCGTGCTGTATTCCCCTGCCATTTCTCTATACTATATAAGGTATTTTCTCTTTAAGTATATTTGGGGGCGGGTTGCTGGTGCGGGGTGGGGTTTGGTATGAAACAAGGGAACCTTGAAACGGGATTTTTAACTGTGTTTCAGAACCTTGAAGGGGTGTGAAACATTTCAGAACCTTGAAACACCCAATTTCGGGATTTCGGAACTGTGAAACACCCAAAGAACCTTGAAAGCGGAACTGTGAAACAAAGAAGTTGAAACAATCAATTTTTAAAACAAAACTGGATTTCTGAAACACCTTATGTCAAACTCCTGAAAATGAAAAGCGTTCAGTGTATTCATATTATTATCTTATAATATGAATAAACCCTTGTATCCCCCAGAAAGCCTTAAAATTGTCTGAAACCCGAACCTTGAAAATGTTGAAATCTTAGACTGTTTCATAATGAAAAAATTGTAAAAAAATGTTGAGAAATGACCCTTGAAAATGTTTAAAGAAAAGACCCCTTAATATAGTAGGAATAAATGACCGAAGAAATGAAACAATGCTCTAAATGTAAAATGAAAAGGACACTTGATAATTTTGAGAACGAAAATAAAAACTGTAATATTTGTTTAGAATCAAGACGAAGATATAGACAAAAACATAATGATAAGGTAAGTCAATACAATAAAGAATATTACAAAGAACATAAAACTGAACTATTGACCAAGGCAAAAGAAAAGCGGGATGACGAATATGTAGATTGTTTCTATTGTAATGATATAGTAAAGAAATATGATATAGGCAGACACGTTAAAAGTTTAAAGCATATTTCAAATATGGAAAGAATACATAACAAACAATAATTTGATTGATAATATTATTTCATTATGATATTATTAATCATCAATTTTACATACTTATTGAAAAACTAAAAATTAATGAGTTGAAAAAACAAATAAGGTGGTGATAATTACCTCATTGAAAAACTGTAAATAATGAATAAGGGTGTCATTGATTGACTTATTGAAAAAGGAAAAATTGTAAAAAAATGTTCAGAAATTTTAGAAAAAATCCCCACAATCAACCTTGGTGTTTTGAACAAAATGGTTTGCTTGTTGAAAAGCAACCCTGCACCCTGAAGCCCTGAACTGAAAATTCCCTACCCTAGAATCAATCTTATAATAATTTTTTTGGGGGGGGGGTCTGAGCGGGGGGGGGTGGCAGCAGTTTTGACACCAAAGCCGGGCCATCCGGGGTGGTTCAACTGGGTGAGTTCGAGGCGGGGGGGGGCCTGGCCCCAGCACGACTGACGTCCAACTTCTCTAACCTGTAACTCTAGCTAAACTCTGACCGCTCTAACCCGTACGTCAAACCCCCAACTCCTCTAACCTGTACGCGTCCAAAGTCTCTCTAGCATCACCCTCTAACCTCTAACTTCACTAACCTCGTGCAGACCACACAACGTGATTAATCTACCTGGTTGATCCTGCCAGTCGTGTGCTTGTCGCCACATGAGTCGCAGTTTAAGTTTCTCTACCTCTAACCTCTCACTTCTCCAACGCCTAAGTCTAAGCTCTAACTCTATCCTCTGCTCTGACCTCTAACTCCTCTAACCGCCACGTCTAACTTCTCTAATCTCTAACTTGTTCAACCTCTAACTCCTCCAACTACCTTTCAATAACCTTTCCAAAAGCTGAACAAAGCCGATGGAACCTTCGCTTTCGCTTGAGGCCGCCTTGTTTTGAGCCCTCGAGATCGCACCCAAGCGTCCCCTAGTTCTTCAGGGCCAAAGAAAGCAGAGCTTGAGACCCCAGTCCCTCCGGCTTGATGGGTCTTGTTCAACGAGCATCTGGGAGGCGCCTGCCCGAACGACATGACACAACATCCCAGCTTCTGTCGGGCTAGCCTCATATGGCTATGGGTCAAAACCCCGGTTACCCCCCAGTGAACATCCCAATCCAACCACTAAAATAGACTAAGATGGGTGATGCACCTATCCCAAAATGGTACCATTGGTTTTGAACCATGGCCATATTTGCGGATATGTTTGTAAGTTGACGTCCGAACCCATGCCATTGGTCCTCTAGATTTCGGATCTCCCGAGACAAAAAGCTTTCACATCTGGACAGAGCACTGGGTTGGGGCTGAACAGTTGAACTCTGTGCTCACCAACAGAGTCATCTGCAGCAAGTACAAGGCGATGTTGGCTGAACCAAAGAGCAGCCAAGATCAAATAATATTTAATGGCAGCCAACTGAGAACCTGGCTACTTAGCTTTGCTCGCCGGGGGCTAAATGTCACATCGGCAACTCCAGCACTTTGAGACCCATTCAACTCCCCAAGGCAAGATGCTCAAAGGGATGGTGGTCCAGCCTCCCGCAGGCCTTTCAATCCACTGATGGCTTCCAACTCATTGGTGGTTTGGGGCTAGGTGGTTTGGGGCTAGGGGTGGCTTCCCCATTTACCCTCTACAAGATCCAGGGGTTCAAATCCAAATCCAAACCACCAATCCTCCAAACCACCACTTACGGCTTACCTGAAAAGCGGGTGCCCTCCGAAAAACCAACTTGCTGGGCTGCCCTCAGATACCCCGCTAAAAGTGACTAACTCTTAGTGGGTGAAACTCGGAAACTACCACTAAACACTAAAAGGATCTAAAAAGCTCAGGAACCGGATGGCTGGGAGCCACCAACACTTACCCAGCGGACGCGAGCTTCGAAGCTCGGCGCACGCTCAAGATTTCCGGCCTGGCGCAGCGTGCCCGCCACCTTGGCGATGCTGCCTTGCAGCTTCTCGTTGTCCTGAGAGATTGGCCGACCTTTGTGGCGACTTCCCTGCGACTTCCCGCGGAAAACTGGAGGGTTTGAAGTTTGGGTTTTTTTGGGTTTGGGGTTCTTTGAGTTTTAGAGGGTGCCCTGTGTTGGGTTGGTTTCGGGGATTCGAGCAATCCAATCGAAACCACCAAAGGTCTATGTCTACCCTTTTTAGGGGTTGGTTTGAAGGGAAGCCAACAGGAAAGGCGCTATTGTTGGGGTACCTATGTCTTGCCACATGTCCAACTACCTATAGTGATTCCAGGCAGGCCTTCGATATTTTTAGAGGTCCCCATCTTTGATAAAATTCGAGCACCGAACTCAATTTGGGTGTGTCTCTCGCCCCCCCCCGAATTGGCGCGCTTTCCTTTTGGTTTTCCCTTCGAGCCCTTTTGTGCCATGGTCAAAACTCCATATGTAGGCTCTGGTCATTGCAATCCAAAGTGGTTGTCTAAAGTCCTTCAAAGAAAGCAAAAAAAAGGACGACCATCCAGTGGTTCATGAACTGAGGGATTCCTCTGACAAAATCTAGGTACGGATACTTGTTAAAACAACAGTAAGCAGATCTTCTGACCACATATGGGCTGTCTGATGTTTTGGAGGTACCTCTTGTGGTGCTTGAGCAAAACCAAAAGGGACACAGTTTGGGTGTGCTTTATTGGAGGGTACTCCTTATGTCAAAAGGACAACTGTCCTTTTCAGGGTCCAACGTTATATATATATATATATGTATATATACATATATATATGTATATATATATATATATGTGTATACATATATATATATATATATATAATGTTTCTGATTTTGAAAAAATACTTCCCCACGCTTCTGGATCGAGTCCTGCGACAGCTCGCGGCAGAACTCCGCGCTCTCCTCGCAGTCGCTTCAGATGCCGCCCCCCCCCCCCTCGGTGAGAAAACCAACGGAGGCGAGCGGTTCAATCGGCGTTTCTCTTCGTTTTTGTTGGGCAGCATTGGGGGGGGGGGGGGCGGGGGGTTTTTAGTTGGCACCCCATCCCTTTAGAACCAAGCAACAAAGGCTGGCCTCAAAAACAGGACACACCTAAAGCAGAATTGGCTCCCCAAGTCTGGGCCTAGACTGTAAACAAGCTGGCTTCATCCGCTCGGGGAGCTCGCCAACGCGTTGTAACGGGCCCTTTTGACCCCTTTTCGGGGACTGGTTTGGACCTGACCTGCACTTCGTAGTTTGTCCTGCTTCCAATCAAGTACCTGGAGTCTCCATGACCCTTAGAAAATGGGGTCATTCTCCAAAAAAGAATGGGGTCATGGACCCATTGTTAAAGGGTCATGGATCCAGGTAGTCCGAAAAGCGAATCCTGCTTTTCACCACGTGTAGCCCCCGCCCTTCTCCTCGCACTTCTGCAACAGCTCCGCATTTCGCCTGGAGGTTGAGGCGCTGCGCCCAACTCCACTGGTGCTTTGGTACCGTTGGGGCGCTGTTTGGAACCGCTTGTGAAAAGGACAGAAGCGATGTGGGTTGGTTGAACAGAAAATCACTTTGACATGTGTCCCCAAGAATCTCCTCAACGTGTTCACTACCTGCTTCACCCAGTGATGCCAAATACAAGTTGTCCACTGGCACTAGGATGCATTGGCTTCTCGGCTTTACTTCTGATGGTCTCTCCCGATCAAGACGTTTCCAGCCTCAGCCACTAGCAAGTGCATTTCTGGACAATAACTGTAAAATATGTATCCGACATTTGGCATCTCCAAACCGTGGACCTTCGTCACGGTAAGCCGGCTCTACCCTCGAATGTGTCCAGAAACATAGTCCAGACAATGGCTAGCATTGCGCCTATTCCAAGTCTTACTCCTTGCAGGGTATGTCTGCACACTTCTCTTTGTGGGCTTTCCCCATGCGAAAATCAACCCGTGTGTGCCATGGTCAAAAAAATTATTGATAAGAACCCTTGCGATAGAGGGTCCATGACCAGCTCTAAGCCAAGCAGCTCGGCCAAATGTCCCTGGTTCTGACGCAATGGATCCAGCTTGGAGTTGGCACCCATTTTGGGGCTGCAGGGAAACCCAAGAAAGAATGGGCCGCATTTGGGAGCGTCTCTCATTTGGAGACAGCCCCATCCGGTCTAGAGGCTTCTGCAAATTCGCAGCTGTTCTAGGGCTTCATTCCCCGTTCTTTTCAACCACAAGTTCTTTTCAACAACCGATCGCTGTTTCTGGGGTTCCGATGGTTTTCTGGAAAGAAGGATCCCTGGAAAGAATGGGGAAGGTAACCCTAGAATTTCGGTGGGGCTTTATGCCCATCATTTGGTACAGTAAAAGCATCAAAATCTGGATAAAGCTGTGATAGGCACCTCCGAACCCCCCCGGACCAAACTTGGCCTCTGCTCATTCTGCAGCGCTACTCGCAGGTCGGCCAGGCGGTCCTGCCAGGCTTGTGGCCACTGATTGAACTGCCTACGGGTGTGCCCTTGCTATTTTGAGAAGTACCCCTTTCTCGGTGGAAGGGAAACCCAAAGGAGCCATTTTGGGGAATTCCCCGAGAAAAACGCTGAAGCCTAGTGTCTACCCACTTTGCGTACAGGAACTCCAAGGGGTCCCAATCCACACGGAGTTTGGGGTCTCTAAGACTAAGCAATTTGGGGTGTGGCATGGGGATCCCACGCATTCATGCGCCAAGGGCCCCTTTTTGCCGAGCAGTCGACCTGAAAAACCCGAACCTGGCACATACCCCACATCCAGGCATATTGCCAGAGTCCCACAGGTTTGGGCTAAAAGAAAATCTGCCTTACACATGCAATAGACATAATTGGGGGGTTGCCGTGGGGGGCAAACCAACTAGAGATTGGAGGCCGTTCCAATTGCACGACTCATTCAGCACCTTACGATAAATGAACATCTTTGGGTTTTGGGGGGGGGGGGGGTTATGGTCACAAGGCTGGAACTTAGAGGACATGCACCACCAGGAGGAAATCCGTCAGAGCCGTTGGACCGATTTCTCCTGCCCCATGAGCTCCCCGAGCTCTCGGTTCTCTGACAGCAGCGCCTGAACGGGGAGGTGCGAGTGACCCACACCTAAAAACCGGAGCCTCCCAGAAAAAAAAGCACCGGGGTACTGTTGAACACGCGTCTCTTGGCTCCCAGAAAGGAACAGGGAAGTTGCAGGTTGAGGGACTTCTCAAGTCGCATGTTGAGGGACTTCTCAAAAGACTTGTGGGTCTTGCTACAGCAAAAATGGGAGCTGTATTTCCGGATGGCCCAAGGAGAAAAATGGTGGTCAAGTTGTTCGGCTCGCGGATTTCCCCGGAGGAAACGAAAGAACGTTGCTGGTTTCCATTGAGCCAGGGTCGATATGCATGGCCCAAATGACATGGGGAATGCGGCGATTAACCCCCATTTCCTATCGGTAGTTTGGTTTTCGAAGGCGACCCACGCCATCTTTTTTTCTTGCAGTAGACAGTAAATTACTGATCATTGCCGCCTCAAGCAAACAGGGAGCCTCAAAAAAAATCGGAGAAATGGTTGCCATGGACAGTAGCATGTTACGGCCTGGCCGGTCCAGCCATTTAACTCCGAGTGCCAAAATCAAACACCCGAGGTTCCCTGACTATGTTCAATGTTCTTCCCTTCAGCTAAGCGCAAATTCAAGGAGAATAAATAACTGTTAGTCAGTGAATGCATTAGAATCTAAGAACGAACTGGACTAATCTTCACCGCGGCTTTCCTTGCAAAGTGCTACCCTGGCGACGGCTCTTTTCTTTCAGCGACCTCTCAGCGTAAGGCAGAGGACCCCTGGGTTGAAAATTGAAACCTCACAGGTTTCAGCTTCAGTTCCGATCGAATTTTTCGGAATCCGTTTGCCCGGAGCGAAATAAAAACGCCAACTTTCTACCCCCATCCCCTGTTTCCGTCCCCGCCCCCCAACGACTGTGTTTTGGGATAGGTAAAAGTTGGGACACGGACACTACGAAGTCCTTCCAGGCTTCATGGACCTCCAAAAGCCGCTCTCCGCACTCGGCAGAAAAAAGACAAACCAGGCCTTGCACTTCTGCATCAAGGCCTCAGATCTGCGTCAAACTTCTTCCCGGACTATGGAAAGGATTTCAAAAAAACACACACACACACACACACACACCAGCATAGACCCCAGATAGCAGTGCTTGCACACCAGCACCTCCCCAAGCAAAACCCTTCCGTCAATCAAGCAAAAATGCGCCCGCACCATCACTCTGAAGAGCACCCCAAACAGCACCCCCCAAGACACCTGAATCTTGCGAAAATCAACCAGCACCCCAAACAGAAACCCAAACCACCACGTAAGCTGCATGCCCCCTTGCATCTTACCGTGGTCAAGATGCAAACCTGCACCTGCACCATCACCTGCATGCCCGATAGCACCCAAGCGTCAATATCGCAAAGATGCGCCCGCACCGTCACCAGCACCTCAAACAGCTCCCCGCAAACTGCATCCCACAGCCCATCAGCAGCAGCACCCCAAACTGCATTCCCCCCTGCGTCCTACTGTCAAGATGCAAAAATACGCGCGCACCGTCACCCCCCAAAACAGCACCTGCACAAGCACCCCAAACTGCATGCCCCCTAGCAGCCTACCATCAATTTTGAAAAGTTGCGCCTGCACTGCCATCAGCACCTCACACAGCACCCAATCAGCACCTACACCAGCACCCCAAACCGCACGCCCCCTAACACCAGCCCATCAATCTCGCAAATCACTTTCCCCTCTTTATTAGAAGTTAGAACCCCTATAGCTTTCAGCTATCTGGGGAAAAAATAAATCTCGCAAATCACTTTCCCCTCTTTATTAGAAGTTAAAACCCCTATAGCTTTCAGCTATCTGGGGAAAAAAACAAGCTCAAGAAAATATGGCTCCTTATGGAAATTGGGCAGATTGATCAACCTGGCAGGTTGATCGATCTCCGCATCTCCCACAAAAGTGAAGGGAATCCCCTCCATCCACCCATTTATCAAGGGGTTGACTCAGCTATTCTCTTGTACTTGCAATCGGTGGTTGCCTGCGGAAAAACGACTTGACCTCCATTGCTTTGCCCCAAGGGTCCAATCGACAGATCTGTTCCCATGGCGATTTCAACAGACCTCATTCGCGCCTCTGGGTGTGGTGTGCCTTTGGAACTTCGGGTCCTCCACTGCCTTTCAATGAAGCAACCCACGGAACAGGCAAACAAACCAGCAAAGCTTGTTCTCCAGATAGTTCCTCTTCAAGACCATGCCGAAAAAATGGCTATTTGGAGAGCTGTCCTTGGGACCTCCAACACGGGCCATTCGCCCTTTGGTTTTGGACCTACCCTAACAGTCTGATTTTGGGCCCTCAAAACTGGTTGTGTGCAAAAGGCCCCTAGAAATCAGGCTTCTCCATTGAAGGGCCCCTTATGGGGTCTGCATTGGGTCCCGGGTCACCCCAAGAGGCTTCCCTTTGGTCTTCGGGGTTCCCCACACGCCCAACTCACTCCAGGCGAGTCACTTTCCCCGCAGGGTCACTTTGATCAAAGCGGTTCGCCTCGAGTCGGCAGGCGAATAGGAGAATACGGCCGGTCTGTGAGCCCAGGGAACTTCCTGAGGATGGCGTGCGGTTTCTCAGTCTCCCATTCCTGAGTATAAATGTTAGGTTGAAATGGTGGCTGATGGATATATTTCTAATATCCTATAATATCCTTCAACAACCTTTCTAACATCCCTTACCTGAAGCTGAAATCCGCCTCAGCCCTCCCCCAACCACAAAGACTCTGACCCATACTTTGTGAACCTGAAACAGCAAAAGCGTAAGCTGTTACTTCAATCAAAACAGCAATGGTTGATTGCTGATGCCGGCAGCTTAAGAATCAACTCGGACATGATATTAGAGAATCCCCTCCACGCATGATTCAAACCTGACAAACGCCGCTGCGTCCAAGCGGGACCCTTTTTGACCCTGTGATGGCACAAAAGATCACCAGGTCACTCTTCAAAACCCTCCAATCAACTGAGTCGGAGCTGACTCGCCAGGGCTTCCGGTCCCTAGTCACCATTAATAGGCTGCAAGGCCTCTTGCTCTGAATCAACCTATGACTCCACATACCTCCACAGGCAAAAGGGCTGACATGGCGACTTCCTCTGAGGACGCCGCAAGCCCACAAGCGCTTGAGCAACCAAAAACGAGAACCACCATCATCCAAAGAGTCCTTTCTTTTTTCTTTTTCTTTTTTGTCGGAAGGGCGCATCTGCATGTGGAACTCGGGTGGCCCCCCTTGTCTTTGTGGGGAAGCTGCATTCCCCATGTACATCAGACTACCAATCATATTGTCAGTTCACATATGAGCCATGGTTGGGGGTGCAGGATCAAGAAAAAATGGGGATCGAACAAACCTCTCGTACACCGGATACAACAGAAACTATTTCAGGGGATCCGAACATATCTCGCCAAGGGTACACGAAGGTACAATCGCATTTTTTCAGCACAAGCAAAGTGCTGTCAACATACCTAGCATTGGTTAAATGCCTGTAGCATCGGCTTCACATCCCTCGCATCGCCAAAGAGCAATTGGTTTAGGCTCAAGGTACACCAAGTTTAGGGTCTTTGCGGCGTCTGGACAATAGATTTACGGTAAGTGTATGGTTGTGTTTGTTGGTTTCGTGCTGGTTTAGGGTTGGTTTAAGGTCGGTTTTGGGTTGGTTTCGGATCGATTTAAGGCTGTTGTAGGGCGTGTTCAAGGAAGATTTGGGAGTGGGTTTATAGCAGCCAAGGTTGCGTTTTCGGGTGGATGGTTGGGCTTGAGGTTGGGTTTTGGTGGGTATAGGGAGGCTCTAGGGTTAGCTCAGGAAGAATGATTCAGGGTTGGTTTGGGATGGCTTCAAGTTGGATTGGGGTGGGCTTAGGGTGGTGGGTTTAGGGTTGGTTTAGGGTTGGTCTTGCGCCGCTTTGGGGGACCAAAGGATCAAGGGGCCGGCCAAAGGACCACCAGACCAAGACTAGCAATTACAGGGGGATCCTGGAAGCAAGCCAATTGTACCAGACCAAATGGTTTCTGTACAGGGGTACAAGCAAACCCCTCCGATACAATCAAACACTACAGGGGGTTTTCTGCCTCATTGTTGGACTGCCGGAAACGGCTTGCTTTTTGTTGTGGCCAAGCACTTCTTTTCCCACTGGCAAATCATAAGCACTCCCGCTCAAGCGCTCCACGAGACCTGGAGACCTGGAGACCAGACTGGGAGACGAGACCAGGCAAGCGACGGGGAAACAAAGAGACAGGGGAACAGGAGACTCGTAGAAGGGAACCCTGAAACCAGGGCACCTGAATCATTTGTTGTTGATGCCCTGATGTTCCGTAAATATGTTCTGTTTGATGCACATTTCATCAAAGCTCCTGATAATATGGGCCGTGGTGATTATTCCCATACCAGAACCCCTCACAATGTCTAAACTCTAAACGGCTGTGGGTCAATAATACGTACCCAAAATGGCACCCTGGTAAATGGAAACATGGACTAAAACCTGCGGTCCATATCCTGGTGGTTGAATTTCGACCCATACCATATCAAAGAGTCCATGACACATCCCTGCCAACCCCCCATGGAGCATCTGGCGACTCCGAGTCGCTTCTAGGTCGTCCTTCAGCTGTCTCACCCGCTGCTCTTTGGATCGTGCCTCGGGTTCTGGCAAACCTTCGAATAGGATCCAGCACTCTAGGGGTAACTTCCCCATTCTTTCCAGGGATCCTTCTTTCTCTGGTTTTTTGAAAAGAACGATGGCTGAAAAGAAAGAGGAATTAACCCCTAGAAGCACTCGAAGAAGCTTCTCCCATGTCGAAAACCCCAAGCAAGTCCAGCAGCCAAAAACCCTCTGAATGAGTTCAACTCTCAATGGAGATTCTGTGATCGGAAGTATTGTCATGCTTAGCTCTCCCTGCTTCTTCGATAGCTCCCTCTGCTTCACATCGCACACGGACAGGCACACGCACCACACACACACACATACAACTGGTTGGAAAGAGATTCAAAAGGGAACTAGCCATGTCTGAATTCTTAGAGTTCCCATTGAAAGAAAAGACAGAACATGCTGGGACTACAGCCTGCCACTAAAGCGGGAAATGAGTGCAATGTGAAAACATAACAACCTCTATCCAGGCATCGCAGGGAATGGGCTAGCTCCCTGTGGAATCTCATGCGCGCATCCTCTGTTCAACAATCCCCTGCTTCACATGCCCAACAACGCCGGGCGCCGTCCCAGAAACCTGCATTGCAGGCTGCTGGCTCTGTCCACTCCCTGATTTGTTGCAGCCAAGCCCACTGATCAAAGCGAGCCACTGCAAAAGGTGAATTCTTTGCTTGCTGCATTGCGATGGTCCGTTCCGTAGCCAGCGAAAAGCGAGCTAGCGGGGAAGTGAGAAAATGGACGATGCCCGCGCTGTGGCTTCGCAAGGCAGAGCAAGTGAAGGAACCCAAAGGAGGGCGAAATGGCAAAAGAAGTAGACAAGTTTGGCAAACACAAGCACATCCTTGGGAAAAAAGGTCTCCCAAAAATGGACGAATCGAAATTAAGTCCAAAACCCCAAGCAAGTCCAGCAGTTTGTTGGAGGTCGGCTGCCAAACACTCTGAATGGGTTCAACTCTGAATGGAGATGCCGTGGTCGGAAGTGTGCTCATGCCTAGCTCTTTCTGTTTCTTCGATAGTTCCCTCTGCTTGACATCGCACACGCACAGGCACGCGCACAGGCACACAGGCACACGTACCACACACCTACAAATATCTCTCTTTCTCTCACACACACACACACATGTTTTGGGTACCTTTTTTGGGGTGGTTGGAAAGGGAAATCAAAAGGAAACTAGCCATTCTGAGCTTCTTAGGGTTCCCACTGAAACCATTATATGCTGGGACTACTGCCTGGGCCTTCAGCGGCAATTTCGTGGAATGCCAAAACATGACAAGCTCTATCCTGGCATCGCGGTTACCCTGTGGAACATGTCTGGAGCGCATCTGTTTCTTCAGCAATCTGCTTCCCATGCCCCAAAACACAAGGGGGCAAGCGCCAAAAAGCCGCTGGAAGCAGGCTTCTGGCACACTCCCATGGCTGCTAGCAGGCCCGGGGTGATCCGACTGCAAAAGGCTGATTGTTTGCTTCCCGCATCTGGATGGTCCGTAACTCATCTGCTCAGAATGGCAAAAGAAGGGACCAAAACAAGGCGAAATGTTAAGGGGAAAGTAGCCAAGTCCAGAAACTAAAAAAATGCTTTGAAAGAAGAAAAAACTGGACAGACTGGTCTGGCCCAAAAAAGCCAACAAATGCTCGGGGGAGAAGTCTAGCAAACCAACAAGTCCTTGGAACAAAATATTACGTAACAAACAAAAACCTAGGAAAAGGATTTGGCAAACAGATCGACCCTTGGGAAAAAGTCTAGCAAAAAGTCCTGGGAAAAATGTCTGGAAACAACACCTTGGACAAAGGTCTAGCCAAAAAAATAACACGGAATGCTTGGACACAAAGCCTAGCAAACAAACAAATTGCTGGATACAAGTCTAGCAAACAAACAAAACGTGGGAAAAGGTTCAAAACAAAAAAGAAAAAAGACTTTGGAGAAAAGGTCTGGCAAAGAACAAAATTAATGCTTTAAAAAGCTGGAACAAAACCGGCAAACAATCAATCCTTGGTAAAAGGAAGTCTGGCAAACAACTTCGACAATGGCCAGGCCACACAACGAAAGCCTTGGGAACACGCTGACGCTGCCTTGGCCTTGGGCGCCCCGACTTGCTGCCGAAGCATCAAGACCTCTCCGCCAGATCTGGGGAATGAGATCGTCTCACCCAAAGGTCTGCAATCTTTTGCAACAAATGGCTGCTCAAAAAAACCGGAATTCCAAAATGGAACCTTGGGAAGTGGAAACATGGACCAAAACCTGCGCCAGCTGTTTGATTTTGAGCCACACCCAAATCACCCCTTGGAGGTGGCCAAAAGGAGAGCTTGGTACATTCATGGAGCTGATCTGCACTTTAAAAAATTAAAAAAAAAAAAAACGGGCCGGAAATCAGGGATCTCTACGGATATACTGGACGTACATCATGGGAAGCTAATTGACCAGGTAAGCTGGTTGTAAGTTGACGAGCAAATGTGGAGGGAACGGCATTCAGCAAATTCCTTCCGGTCATACCCCTTTCGGGCTTTTCACGGAAAGGCACAAGTGTCACGATCCAGTCAGATGGAACCGCCCTGGCAAACCTGTTTGGCCCATTTTTAGCCAGAAAGCTTGTGGAAATGGCCAAATGGCCATGAAGCAAATGTCGTAGCTGGGAATAAGACTCATTCGCCGATCTATGTCCAGATGGAGCCCGACGGCCCCCCTTTGCGTCACGTGTGTTGCCTGCCCGGTGGGCCTCGTGCTTCAGCGCCCATTTTCATTGACTTCGGGTACGAAAATGGCTGTAAAGGTCCAAAAAAAGCCTTGCCATCACATCTAATGAAACCAGGTTTGACCCCAAGCGACCTCTGATTGGGAAGGAACTATTATCAAGACATCCCTGTTTCAGAATTCAAGACTGCACAAAACAGGTTCTGGCGAACCATGAATGAACCTTGAACTCCGAAAGGATAAATGACCTCCAGCATCGAACAACTTACTATTTCTAGATGCTGACAATCTGCAGTTGGTGCTTTTGAGTCCGCGTTGTTTCCCTTTACACAACCTAAACGCCTGCCTCATTTATCGTTTATCCACCTACCCTTATTTCTGTTGCTCCTTAGGTTGCCTTGAGGGGTGTGGTCCAAGGGGTCTGGTGAAATCTTCGACTATTCCATCTTCGACTATTCCAAGTACCCCCAGCTGACATTGTGTGTCCTGTTGGAAAAGCAGATTCGGGAATGAGTCACACTGAAACCACCTCAATCCATCGATTTGCAGCCAAACTGAAAGGACAACTACCCACAATGCCCTCTTTCTTTCTTCTCTTTTTTGGGGGAGGGGGGGGGGGTGTTTTGAACAAAGTAGGTTGTTCCATGGCAAGTAAGTACCTTGTTTTTGGTCAGTCAACAAATCATACCTTTAAACACCATGCCGCTCTCGTCTTTGGGTCCCGACCGGGCTATAAAACGTCCGGATCCTGCCTCCATATTGCTAGCCGCATCGGAAAGAGCGCCTAGCTCCGCGCTCGACACCATTTTTTCGAGCTGGTCCAGAGCTCTATCTCCATTTCCCGACAGAAACAAGCGCACATCACTTCGAGACCACCAAAAAACGAGGCAACCACTTTGGTTCCAACTCAAGGAAATGGGTCGGAGGTTTAAATCCAGGCAAAAATCGGGCTCCCTGCGCCCTGCAAGACTCATTCTTGCCAAGGGAGATGATCGGAAACGTAGTCTGGGCCCGTGAAGGGATGTGGACCCCTTCTCTTGTATTGCGCTATGGGGATGCTGAACATCTGAAGAGCATCTCTAAGATGATCAGCCCTCTCAGTAGCCTGTGTGGGCTTGCCAGGGCCCAACTAAACTTTGCTAAGCGGGCCAGGTAGCAAGTGACCGGCACCAAGCCAGAAAAGAAGCGGAGAATTCCCCAACTCAACGAGGTGTCCCAAGAAATGGGTTGAATCAACATCCTTGTGATGGGCTGGGAAGCCAACAGAAAACCAAGCTGCTGGGTCCCATTCCCGCTCGGGGCCGCGAGTCCTTTTCACCGTTTTACCGCCCTATTACGCGTACCCAAATGGCTGCGGCTCAAAAAAGTGGTACCAAAATGGCACCTTGGTAAATGGAACCAAAGACTGAAACCCACGTAACCCTTGCTCTTTAATTTTGAGCCATACCCAAATTGTTTGGACCTTCCAAATGGAAGGAACCATTTGGCCCCACCCATTTCGCTCGTCCCAGGAGAGCTTCTTACAAATTTAGAGCGGCTCTGAGAACCTTGCGCCCAACAAGCCTTGTGCCCGACAAGCCTTTTGCCCCAAGCAACCGATGCAACCAAATTAAATCGGCCTGCCTGCCTAGTGCTGCGGTTTCCCGTGAAACAACAAGGACTGGTCAAACATTGTTGTTTTGACTTGACCGGCAAACCTCACAAAACAAAGCCAAGCACATCTCTAGATGACTGGGCCGGCAATGCCTGGCTTGCTTTATCTCGTGCTTGATCCAAAGGTGGCCGTCCAACGAGTTGCGTCTGAAACGGTTTGGCCATAATCACTGGTCTATCCAAAACTGGGCAAAGAATCAAGAGAGCGGAGTTGCATTTGTGGTACACAGAAAAACAACATTTTGTGACTCCGGTCCGCATCTAAAATTTAGTCTGCCCTAAAAGAGAAAACCGTTTTCCAGACCCTAGCAGATGTCTGGTGGGGATTGTCCCTATGACTTGCCCGACTCCGATTTGCCGATTTATACCTCTACCTCTAGTCCCTTACCCCTCGGATTGTCGCGGGCCCATACCAAGACTCACCTGACCAAAGAGGCGACACTCACCACCACCAGGCGAGAAAGTCTCGGCTCCGTTTTCCTTTTGGATCCGTTTGAGCGGCTTCTCAAGGACGCCAAACAGGAAAGCGAGCATTTGGGGGACTCCTTTTGGAGGGAGCTCTTGGATCCTGTTGGCCCTTCAGTAAAAACCCAAACAGGAAATCCGGAAACCGACCAAACCAGGCGACAAACAGGAAACAAGAAGCCCAAACAGGAAACCCAACAGGACATCAGGGAAACCGATTGGCCATTTGGGGGACGTCAAACCTTGGCAACTCCAAAACTGCCACCGCCATCGCGCCTTCGGCCGCTGCGCTCCGCCCCCCTTTCCAGCCTCGCTGCGCGGCCCGGGAGGCATCGCCGTAGGCGCCCATGATCTCCGCGGCGATGGCCCTGCAGGAGCTTCGGAGCCCAAAGAGGAGGCCCCCACTTAGCTGTGGTTGTCAAAAATGGGGTAACCCCAAAAATGGCTTGCCCTGGTGAATGGAAAGGACTAAAACCTGCGGGTTTTTTTCCTGGTGGTGAATCCCATTTGGGAGTGGCTCAACATTATCGAGCTAGGGCAAACCGCAGGATGTCTTTGGTCCCATTTGCCACTGCGATTTTGGTACATGTTTTTGAGCCACGGCCATTTGGAGTCTTAAAAAACAAAAAACGAACGAGGGGTTTCGGCCAGGAGTCCAACTCGGAAATACTTGAGGGACTGAAAAAATCAAATCATGCCTCTATGCAAGATCCATTTCATTAAAAGATATGGCAAAATATCCGAGAAGCTTCCAGCCATGAATGGGTTTTGGGTATAGTAGCGTTGAGTGAGAACTGCCTTGCGTGGGTTCCGGTCTTCATTCTCTCAACAGAATCCTTTCGTTGCCGAACACCCAATCCAATGATCCACCAGCCCTAGCTATCCCAACATAAGCAAATATGGCACGCATGATATAGACCTCCTGAGATTACATTCTCCGAAACTGATGAATCCTCAATGTTGGGAAAGACTTCGGCTCTGGAAGTTTGAAGAGGCATTAGAACTCTGTAAAAGGACAAAAAGTTCGCAAGTTGCCTTGTGCAATTCGCGCATGGAAAGCTGTTTCGGTAGAAACTCCGACCCCCAGAAATTACGTCCGGGTTTGTACGGCTTTTTTATGGGGTTTGGACAGATTTCGCGCGGTTTAGGAAAAAACTGTTTTTGGAAATATCGTATGGGATTGGTCTGGGGTTTGTGTAGAATGTGCAAAGACTTTTCGACACAAATAAAATGCTGCGCAACAGGTTGGGTTTGGACTACTGTTCCCCCTAAGCCAAGCTCATGTGAAATCTCTGGGTGCTGGAAGAAGGTGCAACTCAAGCAGAGGCCGGTTTTGTGGGCATTTGCCACTTTAGGCAGTTTTCATGCTTAAACTTGATGTGTCAGCCCCGCAAAGCTACTGGTCGTCTTGGAGTGAACGTACACACTGGTACATTGTTACCCTCCTTCATTCTTGAGTTTTTGGCTGACCACGCCCTCCATTTGATCTGGTGCTTGATTCTCAAGCCCACCCCCTTTTGAGCTCCAATCTTGAGCAGAGCTGCAAGAGCTTCCAAAGAAATACCCAAAAAGGAAGATATGCAAATGGATGGAATGTGCCTTGCATTCAAATCTGCTTGAGATCCGGGACCTTTGCTCTGGTGTCAAAATCTGACGTTTCGACTAGAGAGCCATGCTTGTTTTGTTTCTTCTTCTCTCATATTTTTTGGGGGGAACAACGCTTATGGCTGTTATTTGACAACCAAATCCATGGGTGTGTTTCCTGGTGAAAACCTCCTTTTTTGGTGAAGGGTATGCTGTCTTGATAGGGTCCATTCAAACCAAGGAAAATCCATTCATGTTCAATCAACCTAACCAATCTGGCAATCGCCTGCTTCTACATTCCGGCATAAATCTAGACAAATACCTAGACGTCTCCCACGTGCAACATTCAGCTCTGAACCAGTGAACTGGAAGGGCCCCGCGTCAGGGGCTTACATGGGGCTTTCCTCGTTTTGACCCCTGCAACTCACGGAGTTGGTTCAAGAGAAGTGCCATCGGGCCAAGCGGAACCCGCCGAGCACCAAGAGTCTACTCCAAGAACCCACTTTTGATTGATATATGATATATGTGGCAAGAACTAGGTGTCCGGTTGACATCATCTGACATCATACCAACTAAAAGCACGGGTATTGGGCTTCGACATGTTTCGACCATGGCTCAAGACTCAAGACTGTTGCTATGTTTGAGGCTTCTCTATTTGCCACCCAGCATGTAGCCTGACAGGTAGGCTCAGTGTTTTCCTCTTCAATGGAGTGGCTCCCGGCTTTAACTGCAGCAACCAAAATCAGCTGCCTTTTGGTTTACCACTGGAATAATACATTTTCTTTGTGTCGTGCGGCATTTTTTTTGTCCGCTCTGTCTCACGCAGGGTCTCACCCATTGGAATATGATTCGCGGACTTCGTGTTTGCCTCCGGAACATGTGCAAGTTGGGCGATACTCCTTTGGGCCCCCTGATGTCATTCCCAAACTAAGAGCAGACCCTCTGACTACCAAAAATATCGTCAATGGTCATATGAATCTGGGCACCCAGGGCAGCACCCAAAGCCGATACTCCGATAGCGCTGTTGTCCACTCATACAATCGATTCGACAGTCCAACCTGGATGGGGCAAACACTCGAGATGTTCAGCAAAAAACGGCTTTCCATAGTGAATATCTCCCTTTTGTTTGAAAGCTGACATCATATCCTTTTTTCACAACACGACCCGGACGCCCGGCAAGCCCAAAACCCCCCAAAGCAAAGGTCTGAGCAGCGTGCTTCAGCTGGGTCATCTCTGCTTCCTGACCCACCAGGGCCGAGAGGTAGATGGACTCCCGAGCCCGGTACTCCTGAGCTCCCGAGTTCCGGACTCGGCCGTGTGGCTGTGGCTCAAAAACATGAACCAAAATGGCACAGTAAATGGAACCAAAGACGACCTGCGAAACTCTAGCCCTTCAATTTTGAGCCACACCCATGTGCAAAATCACCCTTCCTTCTTGATACCAATCTAGGTCATCCAGGGACTACTTTAGCACTTTTGAAGGGGGTCAAAGCTTTTGACCAGCTGAAGATGTCGGTGCCAAGCTTACCCCTTGGAATTGCTGGAGACTCATTGCAACTTGCCGAGCTTGCTCAATACGCTCATCTGATTGCGATACATCAAGAGCCTTGACAAGGGCCCGCAAATGGCCCGTTTTGATGGCCAAGGGCAGTTGTGAGCCTCTTGCTAACCTTCACTCCTGAAACTGGGTCCAGTCACCAATTCCCTTTTCTAACAGACCGAGAGGCTCGCGACTACCCCTTTGGGCCTTCAGAACGAAGCTATTTGAGGAGGGCCGACCGCTTGCTAGACGGGTCCAGAAGCGCCTCAAACTGAAGGGAAGCCACTTGAGTCATAATCGACACCCAGTATCAAAATGGTCTACCCAGAACCACGCAAAGAATTAAGAAGGCCGCCGCAACTATTTATGGTTGGGATTGGCCCTTACTAACGTTCAGCTACCCGGGTTTTGATTGTGGCTCACTTAAGGTAACGCATCAAAGTGAAAGCAAAAGGTGTAAACACCTGCTGCAGCAAGCAATCAGGCGTGTGTACTCCGACAAGATGGCTTGTGCACAAGAACCCAGCCTTTCCCAACAACTGCGGTCTCCACAAGGGGTCTGTTCCCCGAACCATGCAATGCTGTTCTGGCAAGGTAGTACGGAGCAGCTGTTTGACGGACCATGGTGTGCAAAACACCGGCTGACCCACGTGAGCCGAAATAGATTCCGCATCCTACATCCTAACCTAGAAATCCAGCTTCTTCATATTTGGTTTTGATGAAGGATGTGGAAGAGCTCTCCAATTGAGAGCGAGCGAAGGTGACAGAACGAGGACAAGAACAGAGACAAAGAAGGGATGAATATGAAAGGCTGGATAATACCAAAGAAGTTCTCCAGACATCTCTAAGTGTGGATAAAGTCTGGCAAAGAAGCTAGACCTCTATCATCTGATGGTTTATGCTGGTCTAGCCGTTGGGAAGTGAAAGGATTCAACCACACACGGACCATTCAGGGCGGCTTGGCAACTTGAAACGAGCTTGAAAAGGCCTCAAAAACAGCATGCCCTAGTATTGACGAGATCTTTCAGTGACCTTGGATTTTGAGGCCAAGCTTCGATATTTGTGGCGTCGCCAAAATTAGGTACTGGTGAATGACATCCTCAAATGACCCTTTCAAGAGAGGCCTCGAGGCCCCAAGGAAAACAAGGCCCAAGAGTAGTCTTCATCTTGCTGGTGCTCAGCAGGGAATGAGGGAATGACATAAACCGTCCGTATGGGTTTCCTTTAAGGGAATCCCCCCGTCTCATTCCATGTCTCATTCCCTACTGAGCACCAGCAAGCTAATGGACCCCGGAACCGATCAGGAATCGCCCTGCCTCCAGCTTGCGCTCGCCATCCGTGACCAGTGCCATGGCTGTAGAGCAGTCGGAAGAGTCTTCAGTTGGCTGGGGGAGTCTCTTGCATCGTAGCCTTTGAAACCCTCAAATGATGCCCTAGGCAGTAAGTTGAATCCTGCGACTCGGCTTCTTGCCATGGAAGCCATTTGTTCGTGGCATTATAGATGCTGCGCGAGAGCGAGCATGTGGCGAGTGTGCAAAGCATGTGGCTTTCTCATCCGGAAATGGCCCTTTTGATCCCTTTCGGGAAACAAACGGACAACCTCAGTACCGATATCAAAAGGAAAACCACGCTAAGGTATGGCCCATCCACAAATGCACATGACCATTCTCACAACCCACTTGCGTCATCCTGCCTTGTTCGGCCTTGTTTTGAGGGGCTACCAAAGGAAATCCATGGATTTGTTTGGATCCTTTCCCATAGGTTTTCCGTAGTGAATACCTCTTGTTTAGTCTCTGGTCAACATCGTGGGAAGTTGAGCCAGCATCGAAACCTGATAGTGACTCGGTCTACCCAAACCCATGTAAAGAATTCAAGGCGGAACTTCTGCACCCGTTTACGGCGTGGCTATGAGTTTGACAGGGACCACCTTCCGGTTGGTGGACCCAAATCCCCACCGTGTCCATCAGCTTGGCCCACAACAAAAACCTGGGGCACATAGAACCTACGACAAAAAACTTGGCCATTGGTCAAAATCCCGTACCCCCAGGGAACATCCCAATCCCCACTAAAATAGGTTCTAAAATGGGTGGTGAATTCACCTACCCCAAAATGGGATCTGATTGATTTTGACCACCACAGCCACATATCTTGGCGACCTCGGCAAGCGGCGCAGGCGCGACTGCGCTGCTTTCGACTTTCGACCCGAGTCCGAGCGTCAGCGCCGGTGCCGCAAGGTCTCAGCGCGGATGGCCATGTCCCGAAGCCAGTCCTCGGCATAGCACGGGGTAATAGGGTTGGGGGCCGTTGGGTCAATTCTTCCGACACCAAAATACATGCTTTCCTATATGTCTACAACATATTGCACCATGGGGGGGTTTGTTTAAGTCATAGGGTTGGGGTCGCTGGAGGGCGGGCTGGGTTGATGAAAATGCATCCATATCGAAACCTCAAGTCAGGCATCTGCAGATCAACTCGTGGTTAGTTGCCAAGCTGGTGTTGTCCCGGTCGTTCCTGTGGATGGTTGCAATATCCACTTCGCACCTAAGAAACCATGGTTGAAACCATATCGTTGGTTGGTATTTACATGGGAATCAACAGAAACCAAACGGCTTCTTAGGTGGTGCAGGGTTTCGTGCATCAGTAGGGTTCCTACCAGAGTGTGTCCACGTCTTGGAAGACTCGGATGGGGTCGAACCCCAAGGGGCTCTCCAATGCGGCAGGAACTCAGAAAGGGGCTCCCCCCGGCTCGGAGATTCCTCTACGAACATGGGGGCTCGGGGCTGTTCCAAGTCTGCCGGAGAGTAATATTGGATGAAATAATACTGTTAATATACAAAATGTTGCACCAATTGGGATGTATGACCTTTTTGGAGGAATTCAGCCGGAGGGCTGGCTTGGGGGGTTGATGAAAATACATCCATATCCAAACCTCAAATCAGGCATCTGCATATCAACTCGGGGTTAGTTGCCAAGCTGGTGTGCCATGCTGTACTGTGGATGGTTGCGAAATCCATTTCGCACACCATTTTTTGAAACCATTGCTCGCTCGCTTTACTGAATTCGAATCATGCCAGGATTTTGTCCATCCACTGTATGTCAGTGGAGGGAGGGGCATTCAAGCAGATTGCGGAAAATGGGCTTATTACAAGGAGGGAGGGGGATAGTGTTTCTTCCCAAAACGGGTCAGCCAAGCCGAAGTTTCCATTGCCACATTTTCCCATCACCCCAAATGCGTCTCAGGTCCAACAAAGCCCCAAATCCATCCTTACAGCCTCAGGCTGATTCCGTGATCTAAGATCCAGAGTGGTCCCTAACATAGAGACCCAAGAACTCACGACTGAACCTTTCTGGGCAGGAATATGAGTCCAATGTTAAACAGTGTTTCGACTTGGTTTTGGTTGGGCGTGCACCTGAATGGACTAGATTGATTTACCCTTCTTGATCTGATTAATTGATTTGGGGTGTTCTTAGGGGTGCTTGGGGGGTCGCTTTTGGACGTTCTGACAAGCGGCTGGCACTTCTTGCTTGTTCAGCTCCAGAAACTCCTTGGGAAATCAAGCAGCTGCAAGGCCAACATGCTCAAACTGACTGCCCGGATTCTAGAAACCTCACATTTGAGAACCCAGACTGCGTTTTGCAAGAGATGCCTTAGTGGGGGTCTTTCATCTTGAGTCTTTCGCTTCCCACGTTTCTAAGGTCCATATGGATTTTCCAAATTCGTCCAGATCCCGATCCAGATCCCCCGATGCAACCATCGACTCGGGACCCTTGAACCAAGACTTAGGACCCAGTCGCATACCCCAAAAGGCCAACTCTCAGGCCTCTCTAGACAAAGGGCTCCAGTTGCCAAGTTCCATTTGAAGGTGTGTTCTGAGACTCACCAACCCCATCGTTGCAGAATTCAAGGGAAGCCAGGAGGCAACCATCCATTTTGGGAATCCCCTACCCTTTACTCTACTCCACATGCCCACTTTGCTTTAGGGCATGATGTCGGCCCCTCACCCGGACAACTGGTATTGCGGCAAGGGAGGATCAGCCAAGCTATGATTGAACTTGGCTGGAATTAGGACCCTAGCAAAAAACTATATATTTTTGCCTGGTTGGTGGAAAGCAAAGGGCCCCCAAAAAAAGAAAAAAAATCTGGGGAAGTGAAAGGATCCCTAGCCAAGTCACCACCAACTTGGCGGCGATCCTCTTGTCCCTGGGGCCCATGTACGCCAGAGCGTGCCCCACCTGCGATGCTTGAGGCGAAGTGAATCAAATGAGCAGCGACCAACACTCATTGCTCGGTTGCGAAATCTGCTCCCCTGCTAAAAGTGAAAAACTTTTAGTGGTTTAATGGAAAACCCATTGGTTGGCAAAAAGTTGAAGTCCTAACATTCAAGCAAACTGCAACAAAGATTGACTTGTCACTCATTGGCTTGGCTGTGGGTCAAAACCCAGGAAAGCCCTGGTGAACATCAAAATAGGTGGCAAACGGATGTTCATCCACCCCAAAATGGAGCCATAGGTTCCGCCCCATGGCCACTTGTCAAATCGTGGTTGCACTTGAGATGTTTCTAGAGGTTTAGATAGGGAGCATGATCCCCATCACATCCCCAAGCCACCACAAGAGGGACCATGGGACAAATACCTTGCTGGAACTGAGAAGGGAATGACCCGGGGCCTTTGGGAATGCACCCGGTTTTTTTTGTTTCAAGGAAACCATTGGAGATGGTTTTTGCGGGGGTCATTCCCTCATTCCCTGACCAGCAAGATACAACCGGATGGAATATGAACAAGTCGCCGCATTTCCCGTGGGCAAAGAAGCGGCCAGAGCAATCGGCAATCCTCGAGTTGACCAACCCCATCCTGGCGACGTGTTTGTTCTTCTTTGGAAGGCCTTCGGCCCCCCTTCAGCCGAACCAAGAGAAACATGAAATGCTTGATTGAAAAAGGGTGTATATTTTGGAAGGAGCTGTTGAGGTTGGGCCAAAGGGAAACCAAAAGGAAACCTGATATCCATGTCTGAGGTCCTCTTTTGACATGGTGGGTAACTTTTCCTATTGAGGGGTGAAAGTCAAACCTTTTTTGGTGGTTTCCTAATGGTCACCCCGTGTAAAAAGAGACCTGATCAACCCCGACATGGCTCAAGGTCCGCGAAGAAATCCGCCTGGCCGATTCGTCCAGTGCGGCCCACTCCTCAGCATCCGCGAGATCCATGCCAAGACGACCGAAAGAGAAAGCACATAGCGCTTCTCTAAACAGTGAACCCCCTGTTTCGCCTTTTTTTTCCCGTGGTTTCCAGTGAGACCAACAAGAACCTAACACTTTGAGCGCATCCCATAATATAACTTGATGGGCTTTGGGGCCCAATATTGGCCTGTAAACAGGGCGCAGAGCGGAAAAACAAACCACCTGGAGCGTGAAGCCTAAAGAAAACCTTAAAGGGAACTCTCTTTTTCCGGGGGTCGGACTCCAATTTCTGGACACATGTAGCACCAGCACTCGCAAAAAAAATGTGACTCCTGAAATCGCCAATCCCTAGCCCCTGAGACCCTACCTAGAGGTGTTCCTTTGGACAAGTATACATCCTCAGCCAGTGGCGTCTGACCAGATTCCAACTCGCAAAACTGGAAGCCGCAAACTTCAGCCAAACTGCGGATGGACCAGATCCGCTTTGCACCGCTTGGGTGGTTCTTCTTCCAGGAATCAAACCGGGTGTAAGCCATCGGCGCGTTTCTCGGTTGCGAACTCTGCTCCCCTGTTACAAGTGAATACTTTTTAGTGAATAAATGGAAAACCCACTAGTTGGCAAAAAGTTAAAGTCCTAACATCCCTTGGCAACATGCAACAAAGATTGACTCATTGACTTGGCTGTGGGTCAAAACCCGGGAAACCCCCAGGAAACCCCCAGGAAACCCCTGGTTTCAGCCATTGGTGCATTTGGTGGGTGTCCACACTCTGTCGCTCAGGCGAGGCACGGTGGGTGTAGACATCCACGGAGTCCGGCAAGTTGAACTGCACCACCAAGGACACGTCAGGGAAGTCTAGACCCCGCGACCTTGCGGCGCTTAAAACTACCGTGGATGGTTGCGAAATCCTCTTAGGCACCGCCCAGGAAACCCTGGTTCTGATTGGATTCCCATGTGAATACCAACAAACAATGGGTTTCCCATGGTTTCGAAGTGGTGCGAACGGATTTCGTCCATCCACAGTATGGCGTGTTTTTTGAGGCGAAGGGTTCGCTTGAAAGGAAAGCTGTGGGGCGGGGGCCTATATTCACACCCTTTTGATTCAGAGCCAACTTGCAGATCATGGTCACCCGAAAAGGCACTCACTGGGCTGCTCTCTTTGCTATGGCTCCGAAGAGGCAGTCATGGAAAAGCCCGTCGCAAACCAAATCCACTTGCGGTGCCATGGCAGTCACGAGCCAAGAGCGCCACTTGTACGGCCAAAACCCCGGTCCAAAACCAGTCCTTGGGGAGGGTCAAAGGGTGGGTTTTGATTGCAGCCAAAAAGGGTCCGCGATTCGTTGGACGCTCCAACACATGCTTTTGCCTAAGGGTGCGAGTGGGCTCAATATGCAGGACCCAGGGTTGCCCATACAGCCTGACTTGCTGGTGGGGTCTCAAAGGCATCAGTTTTGGGGGCAAGTCTCAGTTGCTTTCTGCTCCCCTGCTACAAGTTTAGCTTTTAGCGGTGTAATGGAAAACCCATTAGTTGGCACAAAAGTTAGAGTCCTAATATCCAAGCAAAATGCAACAAAGAAGTCTTGTGGCAACGCCAGCCCGCTGCGTGCGATCATACTGCCATGTCGGGAAAGGACCTGCACAGCCTGCAAAGATGGACCCGTTTTACCAACCAGCCCCTTGACCCCTTCAAACAGCATGCGTAGACGAGCCGTGGTCAATACTCGTGTTCCAAATTCGGTGAGTAAGCCCAATATCTTTTCTTACAATTTGGCGAGTGTGCGCAATGTCATCTCTAAAGTATTGACCGTTGCTCACATGACAAGGAATATATTCACTCCATGACTAGACTTAGGCCCAGTAGAATGTACATGTCTATTGTTTGCTTCCCTTTGAGTCCCTGGTAAAATCTAAAATAAAATGTATCCTAAGTCTACCCCAGACTCCAGGGTCCCGAGTCCCGGGTTTCCGTCCCATGGCACCCGCTCAGCTCCCGGACGCCACGTTGGTTGCCACCAGGATGTCGAACTCCCCTTGCGTCTTCGCACTTGTCATCTCGTGACATTCGGCCATCGGTCAAAATCCAAATCGTACCCCCAGTGAACATCCCATAGACTAAAATGGGTGGTGAATTCAGATTCACCTACCCCAGAATTGGATCCCATTGGTTTTGATCCACTTCTTCAAATTGCCCAATGGTTGAGGCAAACAGGTAAACTTCAGAACAAAATCTCATGCTGACTTGCCGGACCCCAGCGGGGATAAAAGGCACCCAAAGCAAAAGGGAAAAAGGTCGCTGGGGGTCGCAACGGGATTTGGACGAATTGCGAAGTCGCGAAGTCGCAATTCTAACCCAAGCGTGCCTCTTCGAAAGCCATCGAAGACCTTCTCCCGCACTTCCTCCGAAAGCCCCAACGGGCGTGTCATGTTTGAAGAATTTTGAAGGGAAACAGAAGGAAAACCACGGACCCCCGCAATTTGAACCATATAAATGGTTGGCCAATCTGAAGGGGTTCGGGTTCTGCTTTGGCGCACATTTAGGTGGGGAGGAGGGGGGGGGTTCTGTCTGCCCAAAACTTCGCGAGAATGGTCCTTAGAATCCACGGGCACGGGAAACTCACCTTGAGCTCAAAAGGTATTCTTTCAAAACACGTAAACTGGGAGAAAAAACTTGGAAATCTGGGGGTTAGGGCGGCGGTCCGCTTGGAACTTTAGAGAAAACACCCGTGGAACCTGGCCTTGTTGGCTGTGCCTACCTTCATGGTTCCCCACTCGTAATTGAAACCAACATGGATGGACGGTCGTTGCACTGCGTTCCCAGTTTCAGCCGATACGTTGCCTTCAAACCACAACCCTAAATGCATGCTCCAAACAGAGCATTTTGCTTGTTCAAGGTGCGAATGAAAACCACCCCGAAAATCCTCTTGGCCAAGAAGAAACAAGGGTACGCAGAAAGTCACATGGCCATGGGGCATAACCTATGGCTCCATTTCGGGGTGTTTGCCACCTATTTTGATGTTCACCAGGAGTTTCCAGGGTTTTGACCCACAGCCACATGGCTGTCTCAAACTTGGGGGATTCCAAGTGGTTAGCTTTTTTTTGGTCTCCCTCTAAACCGAAGGATGCTCTCAATAAAGAGAAAATGGCGGACCCCAATGTGTTGGTATGTGCGAGGCCACAAGGGAACTGTTGCATGGACCAACTCCTTCAAGAAAACCTCCCTATACTTTTGGAGGCGGATCCCTCTCTAGCAGAGAGGATAGAATGAGGGCACCCCTTTTTCTGTAGTCTATTTTACTAGGGGAACCCCCCAAAAATGGTAAAAGGGCACCACTGGGGGACCTAGTCCTTCACAGGGTCCTGGTCCAACTTCCCGTGCAGGTGCCGGCAAGTCATGCCCTCCCGCTTCAGCTCGTGCGCCAGGCTGTCCGCCGTAATCCGCATGTTGGAGAAGATCACCACGCGGCCTCAAGGGCAAAGTACGGTACTAGCTTAACTGCGGTTGTAACCGGTAGCTGGAGTTACCTTACAGCCATGGTTGTACCAAGTGAGTCACAATCAAAACCCGGTAGTAAAATGGACTACCCAGAACCATGTAAAGAATTGAGAAGGCGGATATCCGCAACTATTTCTGGCTGGGACTGCCCTATCCTTCATCTACCCGGGCTTTGATTGTGGCTCAAGTGGTACTTCTAGGGCAAGGTTGCAGTTCCCGCCATGGTTGTAACCTTGAACATCCAAGGATCTGATCGGATGTGCCCAAAGTTTTGAAGGGTCCAACGGAGCTGACAAATTTGAAGGGGTTCGGGTCGCCCAATCCACCCAAGAAAAAAGGAGCGGTTTTGCATGTTTAGTCATGCTTAAGGGTTCGATCGGGGCTTAATGTGGAGGACCCAGGTTTGCCCACACCCCAAACTTGCAAAAAGGGCTTGCTTTGTTTGTGTTTGTGTGTGTGTTGGTTTCTCTTCTTCTGCTATTTTTGAGGGGGGAGGGGGCAATATCCGCGTGACCATGGTTCTAACCTACAGGGGACTGAGCCATGGTAGGTGCCGGTCACTTTTTTGTTGCCAAGCACGGTGCCCTGATCGTTTGAGCAGTGACCCAGGCGGACGCTTTGCAGGCGAACGGGTTTCAAAGGACAGAGGGTGCCACCCCACCGAACAGGGCGGGGAGTCGTTGAATCTATGGATCCGATGTCGCGATCTGCCGAGGAGCCCTTCTTGCGGTCCCAGACCCTCCGCAGGTCTTGCACCAGCTCCTGGACCCGTTGCTTCTCATCCGGGGACCAGCGCAAAAGCCTCAGCTCGGAAAAGGCGACTCGTTCGACGAGCCCTGAAAGACGGGCCTTCAGTTGAAGGCCCCTTTTTGCGGTCCACGGTCTGGAACAAGAGATTCTCTGTCAGCTTTGAATTCGGGGTTTCTCACGCAAGTCATGTGGGCTCCGACTCCTGGCACCCGTAAAGTTGAAACCAATGCAATGGGTTGATTGTGGGTTGATTGTGAAAACCATAGGTTGAGGAGTTTCATCATTTGGTCCTTGCCGTTCCCTTAACAAAGGTGGAACCCTGTTGTGGGAGTCGAAACAGTGAAACATTGTGTCATTGTGTGGCAAAGCCTAAGCATCCTTGGGACCTCAAAAAAGCTTTTGGCCCTCTTGAGGTACCAAGATTTCACTTTGGTTGATGTCACCACCTCATGATTAGACTTAGGCCCAGTTATAGAATGTATCTTCTATTGTTTGCTTCCCTTTGAGTCACCGGCAAAATGTAAAATGTATCCTAAGTCGAACCCAGACCTGCAAGCAAGCTGCTGAGTGATACTCTCGCACGACCCCCCCTTGTCATCGTCGTAGAAGCCGATGGTGAGATTGGCTGTGCGCCTCCGTGATCAGCCAACTTGCGTGTGTCTGCGTGCTTCTCGGGGTCTCCTTTTCGACTTGCTCTTTAAAGAAAACCACAAGGAAAACCGAAACCTGCGCAATCTTTTACAGGGTGGGTCCCTTTTGACACAAAAAGCTGCTTGGTCGCCCGTTCGACTCAGCCGTTGGCGAGCCGAAAGCTTAGGCATGGGCTTCTCCCGTAGGATCTGCGGACACATGTCGCGGATCTTCCTCGGCGGTTCACACCGAAAGCTAGAATCTAGGCTGGCTTAGTTTGGGAGTGGAACTCATCTTAGGCGGGACCCTGCAAAGGGCTCATCCTATGACAGAGTGGTCCTTTTGCCACCTCGCAAACGAGTTCCAAGAGTTTCATACATTTTTCCAAGGTCTACAAAGGATCACGCTGGACCTTCGCTGCAGATCCCTTGCTGACACCTTCAGGGGTCCTCAAAACGAGCCCCCCGAAAGATCGCTCTGGGATTGTGCAACATGGCCACCTGTGATACCAAAGTGAGCCATTCTATTGACTGCCCTGTGAAAGGATTCCCTTCACAGCAAACCCAAGTTCTCCAATCGCACCAGACTGAGCTTCCAATCATCAGCTCCCCAAAGACATGCTTTTTGGACATTCCGCGACATTCCCAGGGGACAAAGTGATCAGCGGATGGCGCCGATATCTCGCGTCTCCAGATGTGCTTTGCAGGGCTCGAGTTGAAATACATTCATGGTGACAACGTGTACTCATCATGGCCGTTCTCAAGGCCAAAGCCAAGTCTTGCTTGTTTTCGGTGACGAGATGGAACTAAGACCTGATACCCTCGTCCACCATGGGGCCCTTGCAAAGGAAAAGTGAACGTTGCCTTCGGGTACCCCAGGCTTCACAGCAACGGGTGGCCTTTCAGTTCCCCTCCAACCATCCAGGTCAAAGGCCCGCCATCACCGGTTCCTTTTGAAACGCCAGCACGGGTCCCCAAATTGCGGACGCTGGGTGTTCAGGTTTCTGACCCAAATCTTCAAACTGAGGTATTGATTAAGCCATCGCCCCGTGTTTTTACCCTCCGAGGGGCCAATCACATGCCTGCAAAAGAGAGCGTATTGGGTTCCCATTTCACATCTTACCACAACCCGAAACACGAACCGAAGCCCCGGAATTTCCGCGGCCGATTCCGCGAAGCCCCCAACATCGCAGTGGCTTCGGACCGGCTGACGACTCAGACCGCCTGGGACCGCCTGGGGGCCTGGCTGGGGGATGGTGGCGCTGAAGAGCAAGGTCTGGCGCCCGGAGATCGGAGCTGGCATGTCCTGACCCAGACGGACAGCGAGCTCCGACAACTGGGGTGGAGGGGCGGGGCGGGGGTCAAAACTTGCTTCGACTCCCCAGAATGGGCCCTGTAAATGGAAGCATGGACTAAAGCTGGTGGTGGATATTCATTTTAACCCATACCCAGTTGGGGGAAGTTAAAAGACTCCCAAAAAAAACACGAAACGGGATACCGCAAAATCGGACCAAGCTTGACATGCCTGGGAGATTTGGACCCAGATCTCTTGCAAACCCTGGAAATCTCGCTTGATACTCTTTGGTTGGACTGGAGGAATGCGGACAAAGCGATGGGAACGTTCCGGACCGCCCAATCGTTTTAGGGGAATCCGGATCGCTTGGTGGGGCTGGCTCCACTAAACCCATATCTTCCAAAACCACCCTCCAGTTTGGAGGTTTACGGGTAAACGAAGGTAACAGAAATTGCGAGAACTCCAATGACACCACTTAATGGACCAAGTCAAAGGAAATGGGGGTTTCCTAGTCTTGGGAAACATAGGCCCTAAGGTTCAATGAACACCAGTAAAAGAATGTTGACTCAATTCAGACGATGACATCCCTTAGGCAAACAATGGTGGCTATATTACCCCCCTTCCTCAATCATTTTATCTCAGGGTAGGTATAGGCTCTCCGGCCATGAGCAAGGGTTCTGCCTATCTGATCCAATCAAGCTTGCCACCTTTCTCGTAACACCCCAATTTGTTCAGTTGGCATTTGAAGAACCAAAAAGGTCATGGGAAAATGAGTGAAACCCCCCGTCCCTCCCAAATAAACCATAGACAAATCAAGAAATGTAGATTACCTAACAACCTGATACCTTAGAAGGTTCATCCTGGATCATACCGTTAAACAGTCGCCTCTCCAAGCCCGAATAGTTTCAGCTTCCTGGAGTGTTTTGGCGCACTTCCAAGAGAGGCGAATCACGTGAAACCTGCAAAAAAAAGACGGGGGGGTATTCCAATGGGAAAAGCTGTTTTGGGTCACCTTTAGAATCCACAAAAGGGGCACCAACAACAACACCGGGTCCACCGGGCAATATCAACCAGGAACGCGCTGAAAGGCAAACGAGTGTCTCTGCCCACTAAGATGTCCGCGCACATGATTTCCTGACGGTGGGCGAAATTGCTTGCAAGACAATCTCAATGGACCAATTGGGTCCAACCCCGGGGGGGAATTGCCTGAACCAAGAAGTTGAAGCCTGAAGGCCAATGACCAAGTCCTTGCTTCAAAGGGGGGCACACTTCTGGGGTATCAAAGCGGGGGTGCAACATGAAGCTTCATTCCCCGCAACCCATGGCTCGCGGAGGAAAGCTGCCCGAAAAGCTGCGGCGTTTTTTCGTTGGTGTCCTTAGAACCTGGGAACCGAAAGAGGAGCCGCCCAAAAGGCGAGCAAGGCAACGAGTTCGGGTCCCCTCTTGACCCATGCGCTGCGTTGCAGGCATCTTGGCTCCGCAAGTGGCTTCGATCGACTCATGATTAGCAAGAGCGACATCGGGCCTTTTTTGAGACCCCGGCTGCGCAAGTTACTCTTGTAAAGCCAAAAAGCAAAACAAAAAACAAAGAAACAAAGAAGAAAGCACTCTCCCGCCACCAATCACGCAGCGCACAGGCTGCCATGTCCAAGGGAAAAAATGCACGTTCCGACAGGTGTCTGTGCACTTTCACTTCGAACTAGGGTGTCAAAACCCTGCGCCAAGCAGCTAGTCGCTGTTCAAGCATCTGATCAGCTTCGTCCAGAATCACCGTCTGGATGTATGCCAATGAGATCCTTTGTCACTTTGCCACCCAATGACAAAGCCAGATTCCCCATTTCTTTTTCAGGCATTGCTTTCTTCAAGCACTTCGTATTTGTGCTTGGCTTTCGTGTCTTTTGTGGAAAGATGGACAAATGGGTGGTTGCCCATAGAATGACCGCCTTCCATGTTCCAAATCCTCATGTCGAACACGCATTTCAGGAAGCTGCATCTCCGGTCCGCACCTCCATTGGGCCTGAAATGGGCAGTTTTGAAGACCCGTTTGCCTCGGGCGCGGCCTTTCTTTGTTCACTGGGAGCATCTCAGGCGAGCACTTTGTCTCGTCCAAGAGGGCGACGAGTCGCCCAGGTGTGGCGCAAATGATGTCGATGGGGGCGGTCTCCACTCTCTTGGCTGTCTCCTTGATCGTCTCTCCACCGTAGATGCTCATCCTGGCTATGTCTGTGTGTGTGTGTGCCTCTTTCCTTAAGCGAACTCTCAAAGGGGCAAACCTTGGAAGACACACTGAAAGGTCGAGAACAAGCGACTTGCCTAGCACGGAAGATGTCCCCAGGAACAAGAGGGATGGTAAAAGCAGAAGGTTTGAGACGGGACCATCCCCAAAAAACATGCACGAGCCAGCACCCCCAAAAACTGTTTGTTGGATACCTGTGACTTGAAGGATTGACGAAGGCACTCCCTGCTGGATCCTGATTGTTCCTGGTGAAGCGAGCGCGGCCCGTGTGATGGCTGGCTTCCGGCAGGTTCACTTTGACTCTAAGCGCAACTTTGGATCAATGTCGGAGTCCGGGGCATGCTCAGGGCATTTGGTTTCCCTTGTGGATTGAAAAAGGGAAAAGTCCTTGGACTAATATGGCCATGGGTCAAAACCAATGGTACCATGTTGCGGTAGGTGAATTCACCACCCATTTTAGAACCTATTTTAGTGGGGATTGGGATGTTCACTGGGGGTACAGGGTTTTGACCCACAGCCATATTCGGACGAATCCAAAGTTAGCATTCGCGGACTCCGTCCATGTTTTGCCCCAAGCCAGCCCGGCTTCCGCATCTTTGGCCGAGTGGCTGTGTCAGCTTGGTCCTGGGCACATTCGCGCACGAAATCGCCCAAAACGGTGGAAAGGCCCATTCACGTAGGCAACCCACTTGCAGTTCTTGTCATTTTGCTGCCCCAAATACCTTCAGGTTCCTCTTGGTTTTACCCAACAAGCCGGGAGCAAACCCCAAAGACGAGCCGTTTTGAGGTCGACTCCACTCACCAAACGGGCTTCCTTGCACCCAAAAAAAAGCCGGGAGCCAGCTCCAACGACCTCGGGCCAGGGGTCCCTTTGGTGAGCACCTCCATCTCCGTGCAGGTCTGGATGGCCAGCTCCCTGGTCGGGGACAGCACCAGGACCACCGGGCAGCCCTGCTGGCGCGCTCGTCCGCGCTCGCTCGCCGCTTCGTTTCGGACTTGGTGCCAACCCGCTTTTGGAAGGTTCCCCAAGAAATCTTGCACCCCTCCATGGCAGGGTTTTGGCGGTTTTTAAGGACAACCCCCGAGCCATCTTGCGGTCCGCTTCCCATCCAAAAACAAAGAGACACACCCATGGCACCCAACACCCGCCGCATCCAAAGTGCCAAGGGTGGCAGGATCAACCCTACTGATTGACAAAAACAAAACCCCAGCCCTGGCTGGGATGGAACCCCGATTTGAATACTGGTTGACGAACCACCTACCAACTGGTGCAGGATTTGACCATTCGTAGTAGGAGTTAAGTACTTTCTTTGTTCATTTCTTCAGCCCGGGGCTAAATGTGTCAGACGTTTCCAAACGTTGACCCACACATCTGCGACCAACCAACACCTAAGTAAATCCCCTCGAAAAGAACATGCTGCACTTGTTCCAGGATCAAATCGCCAGTGTTGCGGAACCCACAAAAACCTTCAGGTTGGCCCCTTAGTTTGGAGAGGAATCAAAAAGTGCTCGGGTCTTACCAAAAAAAACACATCATGGATGCCCAAATGGAGCTGTCCGATCGAAAACACTGCCCCAATTCCAGGGGCGCAACCTGCGTTTGACACAAACGGCGACGAGGAAGTTCGGAGACGAAAGTACAATCGGAGCTTGGCTGTTGTACTGACGTGTGTTTCTTATCCTTTCTTTGTGTACCTGTGTCCTTGTATTGCATATTGGTGTTCTTGAGTAGGTTGTAAACGTGTGTCTTGCCCTCTAGGCGACGCTTGATCACCTATGACGTTGTGTGGTCAAAACGATATTTTCTACCGCAGCCGCTCCGCGACTGCTCCGCCACACCAGAAATTAGAACGTCTGCGACCCTCCACGCCCTGCTTGAGACGCTTGCGGTGCTCCCAGCTTCTGCTGCAGCAGCATCTGCGGCTGCAGCCACTTGCAGCTCTCCCAATGTCAGTGGCCAGGTGCAGCTTCCTCACGGAGGGGCGCTCCAGTCCCTTAGAACATCATCAGCCCGGACACAATGTTGCTCTGCATCAACTGCTCTGAAACGCTGGCGAAACTCTGATTCACCTTCATGCCGGGCAAGCGCACACGCATGCCAGCCATCAGCAAAGTCCAATCGAGCGTTCCTCACGCTCAGCAAAGAATGCCACGACATAAATGGGCCCTGCACATGCTCTGTGCAAAAAAGCCAGATCGGAGCACTGGCCGCCCCGCTGCCGGTATGTGCGGCAAACAGATCCTGCGCCCACTAAATGATATGGGCTCGACACGTCTGAAGTCAGCACACGAAAGGCTGGCCGTGCTCAGCTAGGCTGGATTTCTCGCCGGTTCATCTTCAGTCACTGCAGTCCCCCAAGCTTTGACAAACTCGGCCAAAACTGTAGGCTGGCAGAACCAAGGCTCAGAGCCACAGAGCCAAGTTGTCCAGGAACACCTGCTTCCACTCATGCTACGCGATCACTGTCTGCTGCAGGCTGTGAACAAACCTGGTCCGGATCGCGCTGCGAACTGCATGTACGGTGTGGCCCGTCATCTTGATTAGCACAAATGGTCTTTCTGAAGGCTCTGCCACTCCAGCACCGCCTGCTTAGCCGGGAGGGGGTTGGGCCACATGGCTGGCAAAACTTCTGATATCGGGAGATGACCACGGATGGCTTCCTTCCGAATCCTTATCACGGTTGTCTATCCTTCATCAAGGGGTTGATGATAAGTCCCATCTGACTCGCACACAAGAGGTGTGCTTCAATCTGTCTCTGCGCGCCTGGGCAGTTGGGCCCGCAAAGAATGGCCGAGGCGGACATCCACGAAGCAGTAGCCGAGCAATCCTGTCAGCCCAAAGCGCAAAGAGCTGAATGAGACTGAAGATCGTACTTTCGGATCAAGATTGTGCATGTCAGCAAAGGCTCCTGAAAGACATGATTGGGCAACCCCAACCCCCCCTACTCCAACAGCCCGGTGTGTTTTTTTCTTCTTCTTGTTTCTTCTTTTTTTACGGTATATGCAGCGAAAAGGGAAGTTGGGCATCACACCCGTTCAAATGGAGTAGTTGGAGTATTTGACAAAGGCAACAGCTCAGCCGGGCAGCGTAGGGATCACAAAGGCGAAGGTCTTGCCAGAGCCTGAGCGATCCCAAGAGAGGGACCCACATCGTTCTGAGAACCTGTCTGGGGTAGCTCGGCAGGGGGACCCTCCCCACAAATTCAAACAAAAGGTGGACGTCTGCAATACAGCGCCTCAAGCCGTGCTGTGTTTTCGGTATGATCCAATCACCCGGATACGGGGACGCAGAAGCCGAGCATGGAATCACGCCTGGGACCCGGGTCCTGATTTTTTTTTTAATAAAAATCCACGCCCGGAAGGTCCCGGTGCTTTTTTTGCTTGTTTTTGTTGCTTTCATGACTGTGGGGGGTGTTTCTCTTTTGAATTCACGCCTTGGGGCTCCGCTTCATCCAAAGGCCCTGGTGTTCTTCTCTTGAAGTTACGCTTGGGGGCTCCGGTGCTTGCTTTGTTGATTTCACTCCCCGGCGAGTTTCTAGAAGGATTTCTGGAAAGGATCCTTCTGGCCACTTGTATGTGCAAACCGGACAATAGTTCCAAAAACCTGCCAAATACTTGAATCACCAAGCAACCTCGATGAGCTTCTCGCTCGTCTTACCCCACCCCACCCCCCATGTTCCCCAAGAATCCCCATCTTTGGGTCTAAAATCATACCACCAGCAGAAATACCGCAGGGTTTCAGTCCTTGGTTCCATTTGCCGGCACCGTTTTGCGCATTTTTGGGGCTTCCCTTTTTCGACCCCCACGGCTTCCGGAATCCGAGGCGCCGGTCTGCGCCTGGGCCACGAGGTCGTAGTGCTCCGCGTGGCCCACGATGGGCAGCGCGTGGCGC